ATGTTTAAAGTATTTCAAACTAAAATCACTATAATTGTAGTTACTATTCAATAACTTCAGAGAATAATATATTAATTCAATCTTTATAAAGACTGGATGATAAATGGCAGATCATTGATATATTTTAATTTCGTTTTAAGCTAATTGGTTCTGTAGGAAATCAATGGTATTTAGAACAATGCGTTTATACAAAAGTTTCTAATGTTCTGACATAGTCTAATTTTTATATACTTACTTTTCACACTTCGCTTGCTGGAATACTATGTCACGTGAATGTTATTATCGATCTTCTGAGCTCTAATTCATATAAAAATACACATGACTTATTGCAGAATACACCACACACACACACACACAAGAGATCGAGATGATACTATTTTACTTTGGGAGATTTTCATTCCTCTGTACCCCGTAACAATCACAAGTCAGTATTTTGTTCCTGAAATTTAAATAAATATCTTGACTTTTAAGTTTCTTGTGGTCAAAAGCGTACAATATATAAATAAATATGCTTACAAACGGTGGTATGTAGTTTTTCACTTTCAGCTCGTTTTCTTGGTGTTTTTTAACCTGTAGAACAAAGGAATAACTCTTAAGTTCAATACTTAATTTCTGGTTAATTGACCTAAACTAATGAAAGAATTAAACACGTCTTGACCATCTTAATCCTTCCCTTGTTAGAACAACTAAGTTTCTTTAAAGAGAAACTAACTGTTAGGTCTTAAGTAACAATTAGCTATATAGATACATTTATGTGACCATATATACATCTTTACGAGCTTAATGACAGATACTGTAATTTTTCCATTTTCTAGCATAACCTCTAACAAGAAGAGTATGAAAGGCGTGATTCAGGAAATCAGCAACTCAAATTTACCATTCTGTAAGATAATCTGCAGCATTAAGTACAATAGGAAACCAAATATTTACAGCATTAAGTACAATATGAAACCAAATATTTACAGCATTAAGTACAATATGAAACCAAATATTTACAGCATTAAGTACAATATGAAACCAAATATTTACAGCATTAAGTACAATACGAAACCAAATATTTACAGCATTAAGTACAATATGAAACCAAATATTTACAGCATTAAGTACAATATGAAACCAAATATTTACAGCATTAAGTACAATAGGAAACCAAATATTTACAGCATTAAGTACAATATGAAACCAAATATTTACAGCATTAAGTACAATAGGAAACCAAATATTTACAGCATTAAGTACAATAGGAAACCAAAATATTTATAGCATTAAGTACAATATGAAACCAAATATTTACAGCTTTAAGTACAATATGAAACCAAATATTTACAGCATTAAGTACAATATGAAAACAAATATTTACAGCATTAAGTACAATAGGAAACCAAATATTTACAGCATTAAGTACAATATATATGAAACCAAATATTTACAGCATTAAGTACAATATGAAACCAAATATTTACAGCATTAAGTACAATATGAAACCAAATATTTAC